CCCCAAAACCCCAAAACCCCAAAACCCCAAAACCCCAGATAGGATTTAGCACATTGAATTATAATTAATACACAAATAACTTTATCAAATTAATCATTAATGTTGCCAACTTTTAATCATAATTCTAAGTGTTTGAGAATAAGCTTACTGGACCCAAAATCTAGGCCCTTCAATATTTTCACAAAAGGAGGATAAATGATGCTTCTTAAGAGTAAAACAAATCCTGCTCTTACTCTGGATAATCCATATGTCCTGTCTAGCACAGAATGCTCAGATAGAACCTCATGCTTGGATCCATTACTTCAGGTGCTTGAAACCTCTAGCTGGATGATCTTCTTGTATTCTAAAGGAAGCTCCAAGATAATGAGACTCCAAGACAGAAACTTAGCAGACAAACCAAAAGACAAGATATATCAAAACTGGTCAAAAAGATCAAGGCTCTTAAGCACCTCCAAACTTTGGAATTCCGACTGAAATTACTAGTAATCTAGTACTCTAAACAGAGAATGACAAATACGTACAAAAAAGCTAAGGCTCTTCGTCCAAACACTAAGTGCTCTCAGTACCATCATGCAAGAGATGCTCCCGAAAAATATTCCCAAAATTATCACCCACATATTTTTAAGAAGGAGTTAAACCTACCAGTCTAGCAGAGCAAAGACTTTTCTCTCACACAAGAAAATAGTTACTCAACGAGCTGAGATGAGGTTTCTAGTCCCTTGCGAAATAACTGGGCTTGACAGAATTTATCAAAGTTAATTTCTCTACCTCCTCTAAAGCCGGAGTCTAAAGTAAGCATCAATGAGAACATTTTGGTAGTGAAAAGGAGTTGAAAAGCTCTAGAGCTGCATCCTGGACACTATTGAGCATAAAAATTATAATGATTCGAATTATGACCCAGAATGACCCAAACAAAGAGTCTGATAGAAAAGAGAGTAATAGGAGAATATTACAGAGTTGATTGCAGATGTCACCAAGAACCAGCTCGTGCTTCAAAAGGAGATATCTCTATATTTATTATTAATACAGTATTTCATGGTGAACTACTACTTCTGCTCTGTGAAACTATATCTAGTCATTGAGATACGAGATTTTTGAATTGCTTTGGCATCTTTTTGATTGCAGAAGACATCAAGCCCAGTCCAAGAAAGGCAGATTTCTATCTTCAAAACTAGGATCTTTTTAGTCTGAGCTGGAAATCTCCTAGAAGGCTCAGGTTTGGCATCCTGAAATTCTTGTTGTTTTATCAAGGAATCGGTGTTTTTAGGGTAAACTGGTATCAAATGACTGGAACGTGATATCACTTTGCTTCACTAAAGAGAAATCCTCATGTATTTCTTTGAGATGATATCCCACCAAATTTCTCTAGGAGAATCAGAAATATGCATCCAAGTTTGCTAAGAATTATAGTCTTCAATTAATCTAAACAGTCTATCTAGAAGTCATAGGTATAATATAGCGGCTACCTCCAATCCTGTGAGTACACCATTGGATATATGCATCTTTTGTTAGATAGATGATAGACCAAGAGAGACTCATCAGATAGCCTTGGGTTCGTGGCTATCTTGGTATGGTGCTCATTTTGATTCAAATTTAGCGACTTCTTCTTGAGTATCAGCTACAGACTCAGCAATCTAACACTAATTAATGAATAAAGAGTGAAATGTTCATATTGATATTGTAAAATTTGCCTCCTATGCTCCCAAAAGCCAATGACATAACTATATTCAATTTCAGATTAAGAATTTAGGTCGAAAGTTCACTGAAGTTAGAGCTTAACATTCAGAATATCTTAAACATTATTTTATGAAGATTATTTCATTTATTTACCGAACAATTGAGTTGGTGAACAAGCTAATTAGTAACAGTAAAGTAAAAGATATGAAATTTGAACTTACATCCAATTGATAGAGCTTTTGGAAACCATCCTTAGTGTTACAATCGTAGCACTCTGGAGAGTTGAAACGGTACTATTATCTCTGGATATTATGTTCTTTCACAATCCTCTCATCACCTACCTAGGACTTTGCTGTAAGCAAGAAATAATGAAACAAGAGATAGATATGATGATCAAATATCAATCATACATCTCGACAGCTCAGAGATGCTAGTCCCAAGGGAAAGGAGAAGAGGCTCTGGATTCCCTAACTACTCAAAATGTATCAATAAGTGAGAGAGGCCGTCTCAGATATTTCGACAACTATTTGATTCGAACTCTTTAATAAATAAGGACCCTCTATTCTATGACGATCAAAGAGAGTATGTTTCTTCTTTGCGTTCGAAAGAATAGGTATGGATAAGCATGCTCTAAGCCTACTCACTCATATCATCTCAAAGTATATTTGAGCCTTCATGATACTCTTGTTTAAAGATAAAGTCTCATAAGGCACTTAACTTGCTGTACGGGGGCAATTCAAAATAAAATTGGCAAAATAGCTTAGAAAAGGTAAGATCTGGTGATATTTTTAGAGCAAAGATTATTTTCACCTTAAATCAGCTTCTGCCCTCTCCAACTAGCCCTTGCCGGTAATTTTCCTAGTTGGAGCTTGATCAACCACAGAACATTTGCTTGATGATTTCTACGGCTTCGAGTGATTCCAAATCTTCTTTGATTTCTTGAGGATACAATACCCGACTATCTAACATATTTGAACTGTGAAATGTGCTAGCTCCTAGATATTCAGCCTTGTTCGTGTTTATTTTAACTTTTCCAGGAATAGTCAGTGACTGATTACTAACCAAGTCAGACCCCATACCTCAGTTGGCTTGGCTTAAAGGCATAATGTTTATCTGGCATGGACCCTCTGGAATAAACATATTGATTTGATCACTCAGTAGTTTATATTCAAAAGGAAGTAAGGACTGTATGCTATCTGCCTTAATAGTAATCTTGCCTTTATTTAATCCAATCAACGAGCATCCTTTCTCAACTTTGAGTTGAGACTTGTTGTCAGCTTTTCTTGATCTCTGATTCTGTTTAGAGGAAACTCACTTTGACATATTCTTTGTAGTGACATTACAATTTGATGATGGACCAATTCCTTTATCAAATACCTTCTGTTTCTTCAATATCCTCTCTGAGGAATCAAGATTGCCAGTTTTATAAGGTTGACCTTCCTTCCTTATCATTGGACTCGAAGTATTATCCATGTTCTTCACTAAAGACTTAAATTCTCTCTTCTTCTTGTGTTGCAGGTTATATTTGCAGCCAAACTCTGAACTGTCAATTATCAAAGGTGTGACTTGTGATTGACTGCTTTCAGGCAAATCAGACTGATAAATAGGACTAGCATCTCACACATTCTTGAGCACAAGCTCCATGGGATCATCTGTTTTAAAATCCTTCTTGATCTGATCCAAGTAATTCTGACAATGGGATTTAATCTGGATGTTTGTTCTGGTTGGGATCTATACAATAGATATTATCTAAGAGATATCCTAAATTACCATTTCTTGGAGGATGACCCAGTTCTTTCCATATTTATTTCAGGCCTAAATGGTGATGAGGCAAATCTACAATTGATAAATGTCTGGTGTTCTTCAAATGACCATCTCCCTGTCTTCTTTCCAACTATTGAGTCACATTGTGTTGTCTATAGTCAAAAAGGATTGAAATATGCCTTAAGAATACATGATAATCAAAATCATTGTAAAAGAGTTTGTAGGACTTTACCATTTGTGATAGATTTACTAGTGTTTTTGATGAGTACTGATTTTGATGCTCTTTCTTTTCTTCCATCTATAAGGAATTGTAACATTAGGAATCCTGAAAATAAATTCTAATAGTAAATTTGATAAGAACAATTCTTGGAGAAACTTTGAGTGAGAGGGCCACCAGATTGTATCATATATACGGAAGAGACATATGCCCTCAAGAAGAGATACCACCGATACTTTCCTTGACTCATGAAATGGCTAGTTATTTCTCTAACACTCAGATAATAGCATATTAGAAATACCACAAGATCATTTTCGAATTTCAAAATCGGAAAATTATGAATTAAATATTTAATCCATAATTAACAAAGATGGGTGATATCCTTAAAAATCATTAAACTGCTCTAAACCTATTATGCCAAGATATTAACATTCCCTGAGGAAAATTTGGTAGCCCAAAAAATAGAAATCACTGTTAATTTTACTTCTAACCTTACATAATTTGAAAAATTAATATTTTTAGGAGTAACTCTACTTTAACGTCCCCTCTAAGCTTAACAACCCACTTTAGACGAATGCTGAAGGGAAGTTTATTGCACCTCGATTTTAGAAAATCGCTGCTTGATAAATTCCAGAGAGCAGCCGGATAATTTATAAAATAATTTTGTGAAATAATCAATTATTCTAGAGAAACATATCCTGGTGAAAAGTTAAGGTGAACCCTGCAAGAAAGTCCATAGGGCCATAAGACTTCTAATTAGCTTAATCTTCTGAGTTCAGGCTACTTCTTGCTCAAAATTGAGAGCTATCTCTAGTACTTGACACCAAAGGCTTTCACCAACAACATGTGTACATGCTTGAGCTTACAACTAAATATCGTTAACCTAGTATTTCCGTAACAAAATTTAGAGAAGACCTGAAGATTATAGACCAGATTTGCATGGAATAGATAAAGGGTCAGGAATTAGTACCAAAATTGGCCCAAAGCCAACTTTGAGCAGGACAAGAAATTAGAAAATATATAGTAAAATTAACCATAAAAATTTAGGTAATCTTCGAAAAATATGGAGCGGCTTGAAAGAAATAAATAATCAGCTTGCCTGCTACATCTCCTAGTACAAAAATTGGCATATAATTATCTCTAGTCCTATCTACTCCCTGCTGTAGTCATCGATTACATTAAGCCAATAAAAATTCTTATTCTTGGAGGTGTTCACCAAGTATTCTTATGTTAAACCTTCAAAATAATTGAGGTTAACCCCATAAGTTAATTCTAAAATATTTTCAACATGTTGGAAGGACTAGGAAATTTTCCCGAATTAATACATCAATCTTTCTCTACATAAAACTACAGTCTTCACACCTTGGGTGGTGAGGAGGCATCACACTATGTTAAAGAAACGAATATTTGGGAGTTTTAATATTAATAAAAAGTTCTAAAGCTTTTATCTTACTTTTTAAGATAGAGCTCCTTTTGAATTCATTAATAATCATACCAAAGACATCTATCCTTATATTTTAAGGAATAAATCTTCAATTGAAATTACTCAGAATTTAGTACTTGTTCAGGCTAAGCTGAGAGAAGAGCTCGCTTCTAAAACAATAAATATCATCTCACTAGCACGCTGTCGCTCTTCTAATGGGTAAAACTCTCTGAAAATTTATATACCAATTCTCTTGGAGAAGCCAGGTCTTATTTTCCACAATATAGTAAGTAAATTATTGCCTAAATCGGCTTCTCGAGATGAACTGGCGGCTTAAAATAGGAAAACTTTTAGAGAACCCCTGCTGTTGGAGCTTCAGGGTTATCATAATTGGCAAAGTGATACTGGGATGAGTGCAATTGAATTAGGAGATGCCTCTCTGTTCGTGTAGAATAAATATTGTAATAAATAGAGCAGAGGAATATATCAGCATAGATTAGTTGAGACGGTATGGTTATTGGTATAATTTAGATTTATGAAAAATGTTTTTATTTGATGTTATAGCTGTGCTGGCTTTTTATTGAAAGAAAAGAGCTCATTGATGAGATATTTTGTAATGCTTAGAGATGCTGAAAGGACTTGAGGATCAGTTGAGAAAGTGTGAACCTCGTTATCTTTGATTTATTGAGACACTTTGTTGATATTATATTCAAGAGAATTGGAGGTGAGAAGACTTCTTGGGGGATAGGCATCACGCAAATATTACCATATTGCATGGAGCAGAAATGTTCCATAATTAGAGACTTACCTAAAATATTTATCTTTCAATACCTTCGATTCCTTACGGGGTTTTGGGGTTTTGGGGTTTTGGGGTTTTGGGG